GGGTGACAGTAGAATCCCTTATAAGACATCCTCTATAAGACATGCGCAAATGAGATGTTGAAGGTGACGGAGCAGTCGGCGATTGCATTCATGTGCTCCAATGTTTAGTGATACGAACGGATTTAGGACAAGTAAGCATGTCATCTAATCTAATCCGTGAGACCATTTGAATGTATTACATGTGTCTCGTTTTGTTTCGAGTATTTTATGTTACTTCAATTATTTGTAAAGCGTTTTTACACAAAATAAATACGTTTTTTAATAAATATAAAAGTTATATTATATTTTATTAATATTATTAATTTTATTTATTTATTTTATTTTTTATTTTATTTTATTATTTTATTTTATTAATATTATATTATATTGTTATGTTATTAGATTTATATAAAAAACGCATTTATTAAATATGTTTTTATAAAAAATAAATCTGAAATATTTTTTTCGATATAATACATTTTCAACCATTACGCATGCGTGCGTAACATGCCTCGTTACCATTTTCTGGAGACGATCATTAAATGGAGCATGCTCTTAATTGATCCATGGAGTATGCTCTGAAGTCGGGTTCTACATTAGTTGCAAGTTGATCACAAGTTTACGACAACCAATTTGAAGCTTGCATTTGAAATCAATGCTTCATATTGGCTGTCGCAATAAACTCGCACGCTTCAACATGCTCAATACATTCATGTCATCAGAGTCAATACGGCGACTAGATGTTCGCGTCGCGTTTTTTTTGTTTATCACATTTGTATAACGTTATAAATTTCAAACATTTCGATTTACAAAGTCTTCAGTGATAATAAAGAAAACGTATTTATGTAACCCCATCCAATGAACTAACATATGATCAATGAACTAACATATGATACATAATAAAAATTATCTCTAGGCTAATCTTATTTATCTTAGTTATTCCTGCTTAAGACATTACGGATCGAAATAAATATCAAGTCAGAAGTTTAAAAGTCATAGTTGAAAATTTTAACTGATTCTTCAGTTGTTATTGAGAATCAGCTCAGTCAATTTCATATAAAAATTTCATATAAAATGTCATTCTGAACGAGGATTTCTTCAACAACTATCCTACTATATTCTGTACAATTAAATGTCAATTCTGATTAGAAAATTAATATATTTAATTCAATATTGATGAGAATTTATTTTTCACTTACGTTAATTATATAGAATAGTCAATCTGTAATATTGTATCTTAACGCAAAAATAACTAAATGAGATTAGCTTAGAATGATAATTTTTATTATGTATCATCAAGGTTGGGTAGTAACTAGTTAAAACGTTAAAAGTTAAAAAAAAGTTAAAAAGTTAATAACTTTTAACTTAACTTAGTTAATTTTAAATGCATTAAATTTTAACTTAACTAACTTACTTTTAAACGTTAACTTTTTAACTTTTTTTAAATTAAAAAATTTTTTTATCTCTTTTAAATATTTTAGAAAAATAATAAGACTAAAGACGTATATTCATAATCTGTTCATATTTTAAGATCATCTTAAGTAATTTCTTAAGATGCTAATACAGCCCTCTGATTGGTTTATGTCTTATTCCATAAGCCTTAGTCTGGATCTACAATAGGTGTTTTAAGTCTTAAATCATAAGAAATTACTAGACTAATTACAGTCAAATATTCTTCTCACATTCAATTGCAATTGATTCAATTTCTTATGACTTAAGATTTATTAAAAAGTAATCACTAATCTTGTATCTTCTCTATGTGCTGTTTTTTAAAGTTATATAACTTATATCATTATGTGTTATATATTTATATCACATATGAATAAAAAATTAAACATTTAATTTACTTAATAATATTGTAGTTATTTCTCATTTAAAAAAAATTAGGACATTATGATCTAAAAAAAATAATTTTTTTCGAAATTTTTTTTAACTTAAGTTAATTCAATATTGACTTAACTTACGTTAAGTTAATTTTTTACTCCTTCAACTTTTAACTTAACTTTATTAATTTTGTAAAGCCATTAACTTTAACTTTATCCAGTTAAAAAAAACATTAACCAACCAACTGTGTATCATATATTAGTTTGTTGACATTGAATGGGCTTACATAAATACATTCTCTTTATTATCACTGATGAAGACTATAAGTTGAAACATTTGAAATTTATAGCGTTATACGAATGTGATAAAAGATGAATTTTATTAGTTAACTACATTTTTTAAAAAAGCTTTGATATTTTAATTTATAACTTTTATTAAAAAATATTTATTAAAAAAATTTATTTTGTATAAAAAAATAATCGAGATAACACAAAATACCCGAAAAGAAACGAGGCACATGTCCGACCTGTTCGAGTGGTCTCGGATTAGGTTAGATGACATGCTCACTTGTCCTAAATCCGTTCGTGTCACTGAACATTGGAGCACAACTGTTGAATACATCAACTGCTTCATCCGCCATCTTATCTGTGATCCAAGTACTCTCTGGGTTAATTTGGAGCATGTGACGCGAACAAACGCGTCTAAGATGACGGTTGGAGCAGTTGGATTCATGTGTCCCAACGTTTAGTGATACGAATGAATTTAGAATAAGTAATCATGTCACCTAACTTAATCCGTGAGACCACTCGAGTGGATCGGACATATGCCTCATTTTGAGTATTTTTGTGTTACCTCGATTATTTGAAAAGCGTTTTTATATAATATAAATGTGTTTTTAATAAATAAATATAAAAGTTATATTATATT